GTATGTGTTATGGCTTTACTCCACCTGCTATTTTGTGGATACAGAGTTACCTGTCTAACAGAACACAGAGGGTGTTCTTTAATGGAAGCCTCTCCAACAAAATCCAGGTAGAATCAGGAATTTCCCAGGGCAGCTGTCTAGGCCCCTTACTTTTTTCAATCTTTACTAACGACATGCCAGTGTGTCTATGTATGCGGATGACTCAACACTATACACGTCAGCTACCACAGTGACTGAAATGACAGCAACACTTAAGTAACCCTGGATTGTAAACTGTCATGGTCAAAACATATTGATACAAAGGTAGCTAGGATGGGGAGAAGTCTGTCTATAATAAAGCGCTGCTCTGCATTCTTAACAGCACTATCAACAAGGCAGGTCCTACAGGCCCTAGTTTTGTCACACCTGGACTACTGTTCAGTCGTGTGGTCAGGTGCAACAAATAGAGACTTAGGAAAATTGCAATTGGCTCAGAAAAGGGCAGCACGGCTTGCCCTTGGATGTACAAAGAGAGCTAACATTAAAAATATGCATGTCAATCTCTCCTGGCTCAAAGTGGAGGAGAGATTGACTTCATCACTACTTGTATTTGTGAGAGGTATTGACATGTTGAATGCACCGAGCTGTCTGTTTGAACTACTGGCACACAGCTTGGACACCCATGCATACCCCACAAGACATGACACCAGAGGTCTCTTCACAGTCCCCAAGTCCAGAACAGACTATGGGAGGTGCACAGTACTACATAGAGCCATGACTACATTTCCACATCAAGTAACTCATGCCAGCAGTAAAATTAGATTTTAAAAAACAGACAAAAATACACCTTATGGAACAGCGGGGACTGTGGAGCGACACAAACATAGACACATGCATACAAATACACAATAACATACGCACTATACACACGTACACATGGATATTGTGTTATAGATATGTGGTAGTACAGTAGAGGCCTGAGGGCACACACTTAATATGTTGTGAAATCTGTTATGAATGTATTGTAATAAAATAAAATGTATACCTGCCTTAATTTTGCTGGACCCCAGGAAGAGTAGCTGCTGCCTTGGCAGCAGCTAATGGGGATCCATAATAAATACAAATACAAACTGTGGGACCTTATGTAGACAGGTGTGCGCCTTTCCAAGTCATTTCCAATCAATTTAATTTACCACATGTCACGCCCTGACTCAGGGGACTCTTATATGTTGAGTCAGGGTGTGTATATTCTATGTTGTATTTTCTATGTTTGTGTTCTAGTATGTATAGATCTATGTTGGCGGTGTGGTTACCAATCAGAGGCAGCTGTCGCTCGTTGTCTCTGATTGGGGATCATACTTAGGCAGCCTATGGGCACTAGTTAGTTGTGGGATCTTGTTCCGTGTTGGAGCCTTGTATTGTTGTTAGCCTTAGGACTTCACGTTTCGTTTGGTTTGTTGTTTTGTCGTGTGTTTATCAGTTAAATAAACATGTACGCATATCACGCTGCGCCTTGGTCTGACCCGTCCTTGAACGAACGTGACACCACAGGTGGACTCCAATCAAGTTGTAGAAACATCTCAAGGATGATCAATGGAAACAGGACACACCTGAGCTCAATTTCGAATCTCATAGCAAAGGGTCTGAATACTTATGTAAATAAGGTATTTCTGTTCTATATTTTTAACACATTTGCAAAAATTTCTAAAAACCTGTTTTCGCTTTGTCATTATGGGGTATTGTGTGTAGATTGATGAGGGGAAAAAGTATCTTATCCATTTTAGAATAAGGCTGTAACGTAACAAAATGTGGAAAAGGTGAAGGGGTCTGAATACTTTCCGAATGCACTGTATATATACTGTAGAATAGATGATCACACACAACACGCAGCTCAGCTATTGTGGCCGCAAGGGGCTCAGGTCACCGGCCACATGACCTGTCCATTGAGGACAGAGAGTGAGAGAGAGAAGATTTGGTTGCATTTGTGAAGGAAACAAGATTGATTTGATTTTAATGGGATATTTGATTATGATACTATCTCCAAACTAAATTGCAAAATTGTTTTGTGTCACTTCATATTAAGGTATACTTAAAACATATTTATATAGGGGCTTCTAATTTTAAATAATCATAATCTGTTTGGTCACTTCATTTCTAAATCCTCAATAAACGGTTATTGATTGAACATTGGTTCAAATGGTTTGATTGCTTTTTGGTGCTTGACAAATTATAATCTTATATAGAACTGCAATGTTATTGATTGTGACTGTTATTGTCAGTACATCCATATAATAAACTCAGTATTTGAAAAGAAAAGAAACAAGAGATGGCCTCCCTTCACAGGGACTTACTTCCAATTCTTAGGATGGTCGTTAAACAAAGATAAAGCATCAACTACTACTTGCTTGGCATGTTTGCTTTAATCTTTCTCTAGGCCTAGGCTACCGTAGTCACATTTCTATGATTGTGATTTATCAATTCCCTGTGGAAAAGAAACAGGTGCACAGCACGCACAGGTGCAAAGTGGCTCGTGGACATTCTGCAGAGAAATTGTGTTAGGACCTTCAAGTCAAGTGCGCACTAACCTGTTCCAGGTTCCTCGGGGACCCATTTCAACGGGCCGATCTGGCGCAATTGGAAAGCCGTTTTAACCTCATGGCAACTGTGCGCTCCTGCACCTGAAGCTCCACATAGTACAACTGTCAGCCAAATCAACCAAAAGTCAACGCGTTGGAGTATTGTTTGGAACATTGCACCATTTCAATCAGATAGACTATCAACGAATCCTGGAAGTTGTATGGCCGTTTGTAAAAGTAGCCTAATAGGCTATTAAAGTAACACAATCCCAAAACAAATTCCCTGTCCTTATCAACTGGATCGATCTGTTAAAATTTCACATATTGGGTCTGTTCAATAGAGCGCACGACGTTCCCTCTCTCAGTAGGCTTTCCAGTTAAAATCCATGCGCTTCAGAAAGTGAAACACCGTTCTTTGGCTACAGCTCTCTCTCGCTCTCCCTCTCCCTCGTTCTCTCACACACAAACTGCGCAAACCAGCCTACACTATCATTGAAATTCTCGGTTTGAAACATCACACAAGATAGGCTAATATAAAAACATTTCTGAATTGCAATATTGGGTTCTTTGTTCATAGATTTTGGCTATTCATTGTGCGATCATTTAAAACAATAACACAACAATTGGAGCTCTAATAACAACTTGTTTTTCTTCTAATTACACAATTTATAGTCCAAATGATTGATTTATACTGTATATGCATCTCTAGCCTGCAGAGATTAATCTAAAACAGAACACTGCGTCCACCGTGTGGTCAGTCATGGAACATGTGTTGTAAAAGCAGTTATACCATGCCGTAGCCTCGGATTGATATCATATTTATTTATTTATCGATGTATTAAATTGTGTTCGCATTCATAGGTAAAACAATACACTGAGAACTCAAATACAGCTAGTAAATGCAAAATATCTGCCCCGTGTGAGGCTCGAACTCACGACCTTCAGATTATGAGACTGACGCGCTGCCTACTGCGCCAACGAGGCTTGAAAAGTTCTATTCACCCCCAGATAATAAAGATGGAATGGTCTGACCAGTAACTATTCCATATATTTTGGAAAATGTCATTCTCCAAGAAGAGGGGGTAAAAAGTGTTTATGAATAACTAAACCATTGGTTACACTTAGTTAGCGTTACTGTGCCCTTATTACAATGTAGTTATTCCTGTAAATACAGGGTTAACGTAGCTAGATAAAGTTAGGAATAGAATAAGTAGCTAAAAGCCTATATAAATAAAAAATAAAAATATATACATTTTTAGGAAATAGCTAAGTAGCCAATTTCATATGTGGAAATGCTGCTTCAGTGGTCCAAGAAATAAAGTACTGTACCTTTTTCAGTCAACCTATATGACAATACACATAGCTAGGTAAGAGAGAAACTGAATCACAGCAAGGTATACTGAAAAAATATACAGTTCATATAAGGAAATCAGTCATTAGGCCCTAATCTATGGATTTCACATGACTGGGAATACAGACATGCATCTGTTGGTCACAGTTACCTCACAATGGGCCTCAGCATCTCTTCAACAGTATTTTTGTGCATTCAAATTGCCATCGATAAATGTAATTGTTTTCATTGTCTGTAGTTTATGCCTGCCCATACCATAACCCCACCATGGGGCACTCTGTTCACAACGTTGACATCAGCAAACCGTTCACCCACGCGACGCCATACATTTGGATGTACTGCCAAACTCTCTAAAACGACATTGGAGGCAGCTTATGGTAGAGAAATTAACATTCAATTATCTGGCAACAGCTCTGGTGGACATTCCTGCAGTCAGCATACCAATTGCAAGCTCCCTCAAAACTTGAGACATCGGTGGCATTGTGTTGTGACAAAACTGCACATTTTAGAATGGCCTTTTATTGTCCCCAGCACAAGGTGCACCTGTGTAATGATCATGCTGTTTAATCAGCTTCTTAATATGCCACACCTGTCAGGTGGATGGATTATCTTGGCAAAGGAGAAATGCTCACTATCAGGGATGTAAACAAATTTGTGCACAACATTTGAGAGAAATAAGCTTTTTGTGCGTATGGAACATTTCTGGGATCTTTTATTTCAGCTCATGAAACAAGGTCGAACACTTTACTTACATGTTGCGTTTATATTTTTGTTCAGTGTATGTTCTTCAGAGAGATCAGCCCAGGTAATATGACATTTTTTTCTTGGTGTCAATAAACTATATCTTTGTTGTATGTTACCGTAGTCCATTGCCCTTATCCCTGGGGCAAAGCAACTTTCCTGACATGACCTTGAAAAGGGCAGTGTGTATTTTGGCAGGCGGTGTGGGATGAAAAGCCAGTGTTTCTGTTTTGAGAAAAACGCTTCTCCATGTGCCACGTTGTCACACACACAGACAGCAAACTGCGCAACAAGTCATACACTGTGTGAAAAGAACCAGCGAGGTGTAGTAGCTAGCATCTGTGAACCTAACTATGTCTGAACTTAATGTCTCCCTTGGTTACTTTCTTGCTGTTGTGGCGTTTGGTGCAGCCTTCAGAGTACTTTTCAGGAAATGGCCTTGTTTGAGCTTTGCAGCAGAGTTCCCAGCCTCATTTGTGCTGGTGGCATTCTGGCTGGAGGTGCAGACCATTATAGAGGTGGGCGAGTGGGCAGGGGGACTAGGATCAGACGTGACTCTAACCATACAGTTTGTGGTGCTGCTGACCCATGGTGTGATATGTGCTGGAGCCACTGGAAACCCCTCCCTGACTCTGATGAATTTCCTGCTGCTGGAGACCTCTGCTTTGCCCACTCTGCTGGCTCTGGCTGCTCAGTTCCTGGGGGCACACCTGGCCCTGCTTGTAGCTGGTTACTACTGGGCAATGGAGCTCAATGACATGCATATAATTAAGAACCTGCTGTTAAGGGAGTGCAGCACAGCCCTGCGTGTCTCCCTGGTGCAAGGGGTCTTTTCTGAGTGTGTGTCTGCATTAATCTTTTATCTGATATACCTCAGCCTGAGATGTCGCTCTGCGCTGATTCGGGTGCCTCTCTTTGCAGCTGTGCTAACCCTTCTCTCCCATGCAGGTAAGTAGACCATGATGACAACCATCATGCCTCAAACATAAAGACATTTCAGTAGAAAGATAATCATTAAAGTTGCGTAGGCCTATATGCTGTTTTCATTGTGTTATATTTGTTTGTCAGGGCAAAATCTGTTTTGCAGATTTCTGCATCACGATCAGATAACGTATCTTTCTATGCATTTCAGCCAGTGGTTATACTTCAGCTTTCCTGAACCCCTCCCTGGCCTATGGCCTTACCTTCTACTGTCCTGGGTTTACCTTTACGGCATACTCAGTGGTCTACTGGCTTGGGCCCATTATTGGTAAGTCAAATCAGAATTGTTCATTATATACAAACCCCTAATAAAAGTCTACCAATAGACAAAATGTAATTGCCAAAGGTAATGTGTGAAACAGGCATTATGCATGACAATGAGGCATAATTGCTTATCAAGCTGGTAATACAGATATCCTCTTTTCAGGAATGACCCTGGCCCTTCTCCTGTACATGGGCCACATTCCCAGGATTTTTGCAAAGAATCTGCTATATTCCCAGAAGACCCACTTACAGGTGCCAAAGGGGGAGGGCGATAAAAAGAAAATGTGAAAGAAAGACATCATCCACCTCAGCTAAAGCAATATAGAACATATGCGTGTATTAGGAATACACTTCTCAATTTTGTTCCTATTGGGCGAAGATATTTCATTATGCACTGAGCATTATATTCAACAGCCAATTCTCTCCTTAAGTTACTGACAAAAAAGGTGTGGGCTATAGAATAAGACCTGTACATTTATGATAGTACAAGTTACAACTCATGTACCGCCTGCGTTCTTACAGAAGTAATAAATCAATTTAAAATGTTTATTAAAAAAATGTGAACATTGGTTGTCGTTACTGAACTTCCTGTACACAACTCAATACATCAAATGTTTGTATTTTTAACCAACCAACCTCTTCCATTACAATGACAACCCATTACATCATACCACTGATGTAACGGGTTGTCACCGGCAAAAAAATAAATACAATTCTCACATACATGATATAGTTGAAAATATGTGTCAATGCCACACATAGAAGCTATGTCCAGTTGTGAATGGGCTACTGAGGCCACAGGGCTCAGGTTTTGGGCTTGGATGGAGGCACCTGGTGCTGGGCAGAGGAAGGCCCTGTGGAGGATTTCTGCGTTATGGGTCCATCTGCCTTCTCCTTCTTCAACTCTTTAGTGGAGGGACCTTGTTCTGCAAAACAGAAAGGAGAAAGGTTAAATACCATGGCCTCCCTCTGAGATGGATGAAAAGTGGCATAAAGAAACAGAAAACGTTTTAGATTAAAATGTTACATGTGAAGCTTAATTTTAATACACCTGCGTCTGAAATGACAGCCTAAGCTCCCGACTCCTCCAGAGTCTTTCCCCACATAGCCAAAGTTAGATGCACAAAGATCATGCCCCCAAAACATGCTAACCTCTCACAATTACCAATAACAGGGGAGGTTAGCATTTTGGGGGGGTATGATACTTATGCCTCGAACTTTCTCGCTCATCATTATTCACGATTCATTCATGATTATCCATAATCATGGTAGCATCCACATTAACGTAGAGGTGTTCGGAAATATATTCTATTTTTATTTAGAATAAAAGTGACGCCAAAATTACAATACATTATTTATCATACATTTCTATTGGGCACAACATGATCCGAAACAACCAAAACAAACTGCAAATGCATCCAACACGTTTGTAGAGTCACAAGCTTGATGTAGTCATTGCATGTTAGGAAAATAGGACCAAATACCAAATTTGGGACTACATTTAATAGACTATAAGTGAATTTGTCCAAATAAAAAAATAAAATAAAATACTTACGACACTTTCAAATAGGGGGACTAGATATGCTTTCCTTTCTAAACGGTAAAACAGATATGTATGAAAATACCCTCAAATAAAAGGTGACATTCTGTACTGTCGCCTCATAAAACAATGCTAGAGTTTAGTGCCAAATTAAAAGTTTTAGCTTCACTGTCCAAATAAATATGTAGGAGAGTGTACATGATGGTACTTAGTTGGCCACCCAATATGATCCATAACTGCAATGTAGTGGAGTTGTTCCAGGGTAACCTCACCTGGCTGTGATTGGTTCTCCAGCTGGGCCTCAGGCTGGTCCACCCACAGGCGATGCGCTGGATTGTTTAGGAACCTCTTGCTCTGCCCACAGCTAAGACATCGCAGCACAGTCATGCGGTTTCTGTGCTTAGTCCCTTGAGAGAAAAAAGCTTGGGTTACTCCACAACATATGCAACTCCAAAATACAGTATGTCACTAATGCAAAGACATTGGACTTCCACTCAGTACTTTCAAAATCTCATGAGGAGGATGATACATATGTCCCCAACTGCTAGATACAACCACAACTCTGTTTTCATCTGTGTTTGTATTGAAAAGGACTAGAATGACAATTAAATAGCCTGCAACAATGTGTTGGCTTTGTTTAGATGGCTGATGGGCCATCTATTTAGCTAGATACTTATAATATAATAATATATATTCCATGTAGCAGACACTTTTATCCAAAGCGACTTACAGTCTTGCGTGAATACACTTACTTCTCTGTCTGGCTGTGGCAGTTACTCCTGGGACCAGCAAAGAGCAGCACTTCTTACATAATGTTCTTTTCACTGAGGGGTCTCTATGAAGATGTCAATAACATTCTAGTCATGCCCTAGTTTTCACTATTTTAGCAGACATATTTCAAACTTATCATTTCTGTCATATATTCTTAACATGAAAGTTGCAACCTTTATTGACGCAAATGTAACAGCATATGTTTTTCTGACTTCTGACAAGAGTTTATATGATATTGTTATAGTGTACTCACTGTCTTAATACCAAACGTTTTGCGATGGTCTTCTGAGTGAAGAAGTAAAAACGAGCTAATTCCACATTCTCAGGGGTTTGAGACAAAACACAGTGTGCAGCCTGCAAGAAATCAATATCATATTAATGCACTATCTGAGCAAATCAGTTAGCTAGCCAACGGTATAGCTAGATTACTAGAAATCAAGAAAACGTACCTGATACAGAAAGTTCAGTCTTTGATAAGCTTCCTTGTCTTTCACGTTTCCTGCCATTGCATGGATGTGGATTGCTATGCTAAGCTAGCCAGCTACTAACTATGTAACGTTAACGTTAGGCTAGCTAGCTTAGCTAACGTTATATATCACCAGATTGCTAAATTACTACCCTACCAAACAATGTTCTGCACAAGCAACAGAAAAAGATGTGGCCTCAAATTCGTCTAGCTTCCTAGCTACTAGTTTGCTAAATCAAAGCGGTGGCTAAATCCTCTGATTACTGATCAGCCTCTGGTTCTGGTTACTATGGACTCCTGAATGGCACAAACTTAGCAGGAAGGACATGTCCTTTCAAATAACCGTTTATAGCAAAATACCTCGCATATTAATATGTATATTATTTCCTGTGTTCCATTTAACACCAGACAATTTTTTTTAAAAAATTTTTAAGGATTGACAATTACAAACGTCCTCTTGTAGCTAAAATAAAACCATGTTGGCCAGTACAGGGATCTAACCCACGACCTTGGCCTTAGCACACGCTCTAACCTACTGGGTAATCCTCATGTTTTACCATCATATACCTGTTATGTCGAAATTTCGTTCCGATACTATAGGATATTCTCATGGCCATGATAATAACTAATTACCCATATGCAAAACGTACCAAAACGTCCATCCCGGTAAATGGTGACAAATCAATGGTGAAAACGTTTTTTTTATATAAAAAAGTTACACTGCACATCCATAGTGATAATGCATCATCTATTGCCGCATTCACGTGCTAGTTGAACATAGCTCTTTCACCATTTTAAAGTAGTCAACTAGATGGGCCTTCCTATGGGTGAAAGAAGGATCACATGATTCCATCTAGGTCATCAGGAGGGATCAGCCAATTAATTATACTCTTGAGCAAACATTCCATAATTGTAGGTGGCAGTAAATTACCACCAGTTTGTTTGCCAACTCATAGAAGTAGTAGAAAAATTTAATTGACTACTTCAAAATGGAGATGGCCTCAATGGCGCTGGCCGTGAGCTCACAGACGCCATAATGGGACATATAAAGATGACATCTTTATCATTCTCTATGTTTATCACATATGACTGGGAAAAATCCATTTGAACAGCCCTCCAACCGGTAATTACTAGTGTGAAACGCTTCTATCATCCTTGAGCTCCGACTTCTCCCGCCCACATGGTGACCGCTGACGTCACGTGCTAAGGAAATGACCTAGAGTTAAACTAAACTACAAAATATTCTTTAAAAAAAGCAATCTATTAATATGGTTTTTGAACACTATACATTGTTTATAAGCCTGATAGCTGTACTTTTAGTTGATGGTTAAAACAGCTTTTTTGGCCATTAGCCAATCAGGCGTTTCTCAACGAGTTCAAAGCACGTGAATGCATCCTGATAGCTGTACTTTTAGTTGATGGTTGACACATATTTTCTGGCCATTACCAATTAGCCGTTTCTCAACGGGTTAAAAGCACGTGGACGCATCCAACTGGTATTTACGACTTCACAACTGGTACATTTCCCCCTTCCACTTGGAGCTCAAGGATGATAGACCAGTTTCCCACTAGTTATTACAGTTGGAGGGCTGTTCAAATATATTTTCCCCAGTCATATGTGGTAGTGATGCACAGGTTAACTCATTACATGCAGTCCCAGCGGTTATATCCGCGGGCCAACGGGTTTAGGTTCATTAAATATTGTGTGGCTGGATGGCAGGTAGGTTGAATAAAGAGAAACAATACCTTAAAAATCCATTAATGTATAATTGTTGTGCAATTTATGTAGGCTACATCAAGGTTTTTCTTTCATTATTTTAGGCTATCTGGTATTCGTGCATAAACCTAAACTTTAGGGCTTAACTGTATGCGCGCCAAATAGCCTACACAGCCAATCGCCAGATAATGCTTTTGGCAGAAAAAGTTCATGTCAATCCACGGAGGAAAAAAGGCCATTGTTGAAGTTTAATTCAATAATATTAAAGCTGCGAAGGGAGAGTTGAAAATAAAGAGGAGGGAGATTTGGTGAAGTAGTAAAATAGGATGATAGCAGTGCCAGCTATGTTATGTGTTATGATAAGGGGGCAATGCAAATAGTCTAGGTAGCCATTTGATTAGATGTCCAGGAGTCTTATGGCTTGGGGGTAGAAGCTGTTTTGAAGCCTCTTGGACCTAACTCCGGTACCGCTTTCCGTGCGGTAGCAGAGAAAACAGTCTATGACCAGGGTGGCTGGAGTCTTTGACAATTTCTAGGGCCTTCCTCTGACACTGCCTGGTATAGAGGTCCTGGATGGCAGGAAGCTTGGCCCCAGTGATGTACTGGGCCGTACGCACTACCCTCTGTAGTGCATTGCGGTAGGAGGCCAAACAGTTGCCATACCAGGCAGTGATGCAACCAGTCAGGATGCTCTCGATGGTGCAGCTGTAGAACCTTTTGAGGACGTGAGTGCTATGGGTTGGTAGTCATTTAGGTAGGTTATCTTAGTGTTCTTGGGCACAGGGACTATGGTGGTCTGCTTGAAACATGTTGGTATTACAGACACAGACAGGGAGAGGTTGAAAATGTCAGTGAAGACACTTGCCAGTTGGTCAGCGCATGCTCGGAGTACACGTCCTGGTAATCTGTCTGGCCCTGCGGCCTTGTGAATGTTGACCTGTTTAAAAGTCTTACTCACATCGGCTACGGAGAGCGTGATCACACAGTCGTCCGGAACAGCTGATGCTCTCACGCATGTTTCAGTGTTACTTGCCTCGAAGCGAGCATAGAAGTAATTTACCTCGTCTGGTAGGCTCGTGTCACTGGGCAGCTCGCGGCTGTGCTTCCCTTTGTTGTCTGTAATAGTTTGCAAGCCCTGCCACATCCGACGAGTGTCGGAGCCGGTGTAGTACGATTCGATCTTAGTCCTGTATTGACGCTTTGCCTGTTTGATGGTTCGTCGGAGGGCATAGCGGGATTTCTTATAAGCTCCTTGAAAGCGACAGCTCTACCCTTTAGCTCAGTGCTACGCAGACGACACACAACTAATCTTCTCCTTTCCCCCTTCTGATAACCAGGTGGCGAATCGCATCTCTGCATGTCTGGCAGACATATCAGTGTGGATGACGGATCACCACCTCAAGCTGAACCTCGGCAAGACGGAGCTGCTCTTCCTCCCGGGGAAGGACTGCCCGTTCCATGATCTCGCCATCACGGTTGACAACTCCATTGTGTCCTCCTCCCAGAGTGCAAAGAGCCTTGGCGTGACCCTGGACAACACCCTGTCGTTCTCCGCTAACATCAAGGCGGTGACCCGATCCTGTAGGTTCATGCTCTACAACATTCGGAGAGTACGACCCTGCCTTACACAGGAAGCGGCATAGGTCCTAATCCAGGCACTTGTCATCTCCCGTCTGGATTACTGCAACTCGCTGTTGGCTGGGCTCCCTGCCTGTGCCATTAAACCCCTACATCTCATCCAGAATGCCGCAGCCCGTCTGGTGTTCAACCTTCCCAAGTTCTCTCACGTCACCCCGCTCCTCCGCACACTCCACTGGCTTCCAGTTGAAGCTCGCATCTGCTACAAGACCATGGTGCTTGCCTACGGAGCTGTGAGGGGAACGGCACCACCGTACCTTCAGGCTCTGATCAGTCCCTACACCCAAAGGAGGGCATTGCCTTCATCCACCTCTGGCCTACTGGCCCCCCTACCTCTGCGGAAGCACAGTTCCCGCTCAGCCCAGTCAAAACTGTTCGCTGCTCTGGCACCCCAATGGTGGAACAAGGTCCCTCACGACGCCAGGACAGCGGAGTCACTCACCACCTTCCGGAGACACTTGAAACCCCACCTCTTTAAGGAATACCTGGGATAGGATAAAGTAATCCTTCTACCCCCCCTTACCCCACCCCCCCCAAAAAAAAAAGTGGTTTAAAGTGGTTATCCCACTGGCTATAAGGTGAATGCACCAATTTGTAAGTCGCTCTGGATAAGAGTTGCGTTGTCTTGGCTGTGTTCTTAGGGTCGTTGTCCTGTTGGAAGGTGAACCGTTGCCCCAGTCTGAGGTCCTGAGCGCTCTGGAGCAGCTTTTCATCAAGGATCTCTGTACTTTGCTCCATTGATCTTTCCCTCAATCCTGACTAGTCTCCCAGTCCCTGCCGTTGAAAAACATCCCCACAGCATGATACTGCCACCACCATGCATCACCGTAGGGATGGTGCCAGGTTTCCTCCAGACATGACGATTGGCATTCAAGCCGACCAGAGAATCTTGTTTCTCATGGTCTGAGAGTCCTTTAGGTGCCTTTTGGCAGACTCCAAGCAGGCTGTTATGTGCCTTTTACTGAGGAGTGGCTTCTGTCTGGCCACTCTACCATAAAGGCTTGATTGGTAGATTGCTGCAGAGATGGTTGTCCTTCTGGAAGGTTCTCCCATCTCCACAGAGGAACTCTGGAGCTCTGTCAGAGTGACCATCGGGTTCTTGGTCACTTCCCTGACCAAGGCCCTTCTCCCCCGATTGCTCAGTTTGGCCTGGCGGTCCAGCTCTAGGAAAAGTCTTGGTATTTCCAAACTTCTTCCATTTAAGAATGATGGAAGCCACTGTGTTCTTCAGGGACTTTCAATGCTGCAGAAATTTTTTGGTACCCTTCCCCAGATCTGTGCCTCATCAAAATCCTGTCTCAGCGCTCTATAGAAAATTCCTTCGACCTCATGGCTTAATTTTTGCTCTCACAGGCACTGTCAACTGTAGGACCTTATATAGACAGGTGTGTGCCTTTTCAAATGATGTCCAATCAATTGAATTTACCACAGGTGGACTCCAATGAAGTTGTAAAAACATCTCAAGAATGATCAATGGAAACAGGATGCACCAGAGCTCAATTTCAAGTCTCATAGCAAAGGGTCTAAGGGTATTTCAGTTTTTTATATTTAATACATTTGATAACATTTATAAAAACGTGTTTTTGCTTTGTCGTTATGGGGTATTGTGTGTAAATTGATGGGGGGGGGGGAATTATTGAATCCATTTTAGAATAAGGATGTAACGTAACTAAATGTGGAAAAAG